ATGATTTAATCTTTAATTTAAATAAATAGATTGAATAATTCAATAAAGGACAATGAATTTTATGTTTCCTACAAATTAAAAACATATTTAGAAACTTTAATTACCGACATGAGAAAGGTCGGCAACAATACTTTGACCTCCGTAGGTGGTTTCTCAATGAGTGATTTGCAAACGTGGTCTATGTCGGTATTTGTCTAAATGGTAAGATAAAATATTAAAACATGTTTGGTACCAAAGTGAGTCACGTCAGTAAATTATCGACGTGACAACTAGTCGATTGTATTTTTCCAGTGAGAATATGCAGACTTGATTTTTGTTGGTAATATGGATAGAATTCACCGATGTGATTTTTTATCACGTCAGTAAATAGATGACCGAGCAAACTTATACAGATAAAATATTACCGACATGATTCAAGTTGAAAATCTGATTTTTCCGACGTGCTTTGCTCAATGACCAACATGATTTCTCATCGGTAAATCAAAGCATTCTAGTAGTGACCGCCAAAAATGAATCTTCAACAAACGTAGGCATCGTCGACGATATTAGATCGCATGGGTCATCACCTTATCACGAAAAAATTGTGTTAGGCAATTGGAATTGATATAAAAATTAGAGTGACGTTACAATGTAGATGTCATGTGTGTTGCGTCATCGGTACGTTGAAAATGTAATAGAGGTTATAAACATTGAAACGTCTACACATTACCACCTAGGTAGAAGTAGAACACAAACAAAACAAAAAAATGTGAATCGACCATTCATTTCTTCGGTTTGGCGTTGCGATCGATTGCAATCCCCAGATAGGACAGAAATGTCACAGCGAAATTCGTAACCACTTTCTAGTGTCTCCTTCTCCATCTTTTTATTTTATTTTTTTATAATTATTTAATATTGTATATTTATAATTATATATGTTATTAAATAAAAATAATATATTTTTAAATATATAAATATGATATTATAATTAAATTTTAAATAAAATTTTATTATATATTTTATATTATAAATTTATAATATTATGTAATATTATAATTATATTATTTTTATTTTTATATAAAAATGACATTAATAGCTAATTTGAAGAAAAATAAATAGAAGAGAGGAAGAAGAGAGGGAAAGTGACATTAATTATATTTTTTACTATCTTAAAAATATATAGAATTCAAATGATTAAAAATATATTTTTTACTATAATAGTTTTATATATAAAATTAGAAATTTTATTTTGAAGTTTTTTAGTTGTAGTTTTTATGGACAATATTTAATATTTAATATAATTACAAAATTATTCATTAAAATCAAATCTTATTTAATCTAATTACATCATAATTTATAATGTTATATTTAAATTTAATGTCTTATTTATTTGAAGATTTCTCATTCTCTATTTATAAGTTGTTTTCTTACAAATCCCAAAAAAAATCTATCTATCATTTTTTTTATTTTGAGGAATTAGTACTATCATTTTGAGAAATCAAAACCTTATTATCCATTTTTAAAAGTTTTGTATTTGTTAAAAGCTTATTGAAAGAAATAGTGCCTCAAGCCTTTAGAAATTATGCTCAACTAGGAAGTCTAAGATAATTAATTGAATGAAAAAAAGAGGACAAGATATATAGGTGGAAAATGTTGTCCTCTAACCAAATTTTGTGTTAAAATTTTAGTTTCTGTTTTTTTATTCAACCAATAGAATTTTAGTTGAATTAATATTGTTAATTTAAAATTTTGAATTTTGGGGTAAGTTCAAACCTACCTAACCGATCGTTGTGGCATAACATATAAAAACATTTTCAAGAAAAGGTTGTTGTGGCCTTCACCATTTCCCTAGATATGACATCTCTGCACCGCATGTACCTCATCTAATGGTATACGAACTAAAATTCAAATGATTGATCAAGAACAATTTTGAAACCGTGGTAAATGGTAATCGAGCGGGTGATCAGGTCGCCTCTACGCCCTTCAAATTACAGTCTACCTCCCGCCTTTTTCCTTTTTTGCTCAATTATTTAAAGTTCAGAAA